GTGGTAAAACCTGCCGATTTGATGGATAAGGTCGGCGATAAAAATGCATATATTCACAAGAAGCTTGGGGCCAAAATGTTTTTGGACAGCAAATTTTGCTGACGGCCAAGACGAAAAAATGCAATGCTGTGACCCCATGCTATGCAAAATGCAATGCAAATGCAGTGACCCCATGTTGTGCAAAACATAACATGGGGTCTCCATACATAGATGTTATGTGTCCATGGTAACAAATTTCGTCACACAACACATGCGGTGTAGGTGTACTTTCCTACCTAACGTTAGAAAAAATCATTGCACACCATTCGTCGTGTTTAAGGCGGTACAAATCGTAAATAATCTCAAAACAGGTAGAATCATGCTCCTACCTTCGAATTTCAATAACTTCGATGGCGGGCTCCCGAGCGCCGCGCGCACCGCACCGCCTGGACTCCCCAGCGCCGTTTATGCGTTGCCGTTGCGTAAATACAATATTTCTGCTTACCAAGACCTGTACAAAATGTACGGGACCAAGGTAAACCATTCGTCGTGTTTAAGGCGGAACATATCGTAAGTAATTGCAAAACAGATAGAATCATGCTCATACCCTCGAATTTTCATAAATAAGATAGCGAGTTCCCGAGCGCCGCACGCACTGCACCGCACCGCCTCGACTCCCAAGCGCCGTTTCTGCGTTGTTGCGAAAGCACAATATTTCTGCTTATCAAGAACCATAAAACATGTACGGGACTAAGGTAACAATAATAAAGCAACCAAAATCGTTTCTTATCGAGTATAGGTACATTTATGAAACACACAGGTCAGAATAGTCCAGAACATATCCTAAAGTAGCCTAACCTAACCAAACCTAACCTAACCTAACCTAACCTAACCTAACCTAACCTAAGCTAACCTAACCTATCCTAGCCTAACCTAAACTAACCTAACCTAACCTAACCTAACCTAACCTAACCTAGCCTAACCTAACCTAACCTAACCTCCCCACCCTATATCCCCTTCAACCCAGCATCCCATAGCTAAGCTAAGCTAAGCTAGCCTGACCTGACCTGACCTGACCTGACCTGACCTGACCTGACCTGACCTGACCTAACCTAACCTAACCTAACCTAACCTAACCTAACCTAACCTAACCTAACCTAACCTAACCAAACCTAACCTAACCTAACCTAACCTAACCAAACCTGAGCTTAGATATAAGCTCATAGACCTTATGAGCTTAGATATAAGCTAATAGACCAGAACCTAAGCTTAGCTAAGCTAACCTATCCTAACCTAACAAACCTATCCTAACCTAACCTAACCTAACCTAACCTAACCTCCCCACCCTATATCCCCTTCAACCCAGCATCCCATTGGCGTCCATGTTCCATGCCATATATAGGTGCCATATAGTGAGCTTTTATTTAGCTGTCATGTTCTCATTTTGCTTTACATTCCCCACCCAATCTCCCTGCAACCCATGGTCCCGTTGGCGTCGAGGATCAAATTTCATGGATTCTTGTTACCTTGGCCCGGTACATTTTTATGGTTCTTGATGCTGCTTGATGCACAGTAATGTTGTGACCCGCGCAGTAATGGCGCCGGTGTCGCGGGTGCTGTGTGTGTGCGGCGCTCGGGAGTTCGCCATCGTAATTATAAAAAATTGAAGGCAAGATTATGAATCTACCTGTTTTGTGATCATTTACGATATGTCCTGCCTTAAACACGACGAATGGTTTACTTTGGCCCCGTACATTTTGTAGAGTTCTTGGTAAGCAGAAATATTGTATTTACGCAACGGCACCGCATAAACGGCGCTAGGGAGTCCAGGCGGTGCGGTGCGCGCGGCGCTCGGGGTTCCGCCATCGAAGTTATTGAAATTCGAAGGTAGGAGCATGATTCTACCTGTTTTGAGATTATTCACGATATGTCCTGCCTTAAACACGACGAATGGTGTACAATGATTTTTTCTAACGTTAGGTAGGAAAGTACACCCTGACCACACAAGCAAACGTTTCCATAAATACTTTTTACCGTACTCTGCTGCACACTGGTATCTTTCCTAGATTTTAATCCAGCCCGGTGACCAAACTTATCCTCTGATTTTTAGTTGCCCGACTTGATAACAGATCGGAGACAAAGCAGTGTATTTCCTATGGTCGGATTGGTCGGCTGATTCGCTGTTTTTAACAGCCGACCCTCAGTGTCCAAACTAGACAGTATAAAGTACTGAAACAGATCTAGATATGGGGATTCGTCTGGCTGCAAGGGCGTGTTTTAATAATTGCGATGCGACTGATATGAGGTGGGCGGTGACTTTCAGTGCACTGCAACTTTGCAATCGGCATTCGCATTGCAGTGTCATGAACACCCGCCCAGGATTCGATTTCTGGCTTTGTTTACTTCGTTGGCTGTGCCGCGATTCAGCATCCTGTTCTCAGCGGGTCCCGACGAGTCCTGTTCTCCATCCTGTTCTCAGCGGGTCTGAAGACAATGCTGGTTATTTCCCGATGATAACACCCCTACGGTAACAGGAAAGCTCTGCAAGCTATTCATGCTGCAGCGCTCATTCATGTGCATATTTTCCTTGCACATGTGAGCATGGCATTGCATGGATTCAAATATGGCATGTTTCATGACTGTTTTTGCTAACACTGAATTCTAAAATTGTCCTCATGGAACCATTAGCATAATCACTGTGTACATTTAAGTACAGGCTGTGAAGGCAGACAACCTGCCTTATACGCAGTCTTCACCGATAGTAGAAATTAATATATTTTGCGTGGTGGTGGCATAATGACAGGAGTGCCAATTTTATTCATGGTTAGGGAACATAGCAACCCATGGATCATGGTCAGTAAATTAAGTCCAGAGAAGGTTTTGTGTCATAGGAAGCTTTAATCTCATATCTTGTGTGATTTTACATCTAGAAATGTTGGCTGGGGGAGGAAGCAATTAGCATTGAGGGGGATCAACCCAACATAGATATTGGGTGGTGCCCCAGAAAATAATTTGAATTGGTACTCCTGCATCATATATGACAGACATCACAGAAAACCTTAGGTTTCCATGCTACTTGCATGCAAAGGGCAATTTGGGCTTGCTGACTGAATGCCTACCAATGTTTAGATGTTAGTAATTAAATCTGTCATTCCGCTGCAGCAGTTAATACTTTCATGGCCCGGAATGCAGATTTTGGCCTCGTGGAAGCCTTCATATCTAACATCATTCCTAGTGCCGCTTGCTACTGGTTTGGAATCTGCCATGCATTCAGCTGCCCTGGCTATCGAGGCCTTTCATTGCTTTTTTTGCGGTCGACGAAAGCAAATCCAGTCGTGGATCAAGTTTAAACGTGAGGCCCCGACGAGTCCGGAGGGTGAAAGAAGATTTCTATTGTGATTGGACTATCTCATATGCTTAGAGCATGTGCGCCGGCTTTCCAACAGCAGCCATTGTTTCCGACATTTGTTCAAGGGCAGTGTATGACTGAACGTCTGGGTTATGTGCATAATATTGAAAACTGCAGGTAATGAAAGACACTTTCGGTGATACGCTGATTACCGATGACGCTACTGGGCATGAACTGAATGACCATTTTGTCCTATTGTATTGCGTTACGCTGCTGGCGACAATTTTTCCTCCGAAGATGTGGTCGGCGACGAAACGTATACTTTTACCCACCCCTGCCCGCGCCAGCCCTAGGTCGCCGCGCGGTGTTGCACAGTCAGATAAACACAGGTGTTATATGTGAACTGATGATGACGACACTGGACAGTGCTGGTAAGAAAGGGGGGCAAGGTGAGGGGGGGGGGGGCGTGCAATAGCCGAGGGTCCCTATTAATATTGGGGGGGAAGGTGGAAAGCAACATCTTGTTTCGATTTATGTCGGCAAATCTTGTTGATTTTGGCGAGTAAATCTCCATTATGTGCTGTGCTGTTCTGTGCTATCCTCTTCTTTTCTACCCTGTCACGTCATGTCAGCTCCGGGCCTGTCTCGATTTATCTTGTCTCCTGTTCTGCCCTGCCATATCCTGTTCCTGTGCTATTAACTATCCCTTCTTCCTGTTCTACCTTGTTCTCTTTCATTCTGCCCCGGATGCTAACCCGTTGCCTAACCCGTTCCTATCCTATTGCCTCACGTCATCCATCTCCTGTCTTCTGGCTTCCATGTCATGCCCAGTGAGGTAAGACGTCTGTGGAGATTGGGACAGAAAGCTGATTTGGCCCGTTCTTTATATGTACTGCGTCCCAATGCATTTGTGTCTTAGCCAATGTTGTCTACAGAATACTTGCCTTTTAAATCTTCCAATCCAAAATATCATTTCAGGTCAGGTTGTGTCGTCTAGATTCCAGTGTCACTCCTCTAATCCTGACTTGTCCCCGCCATCCCCCCCCAAAAATGATAACGCCCACGCCCAAGAAGTCAAAAATTATTTCATATCGCGTTTCCTTAAACATGTTGATCAAAATCAATGAATGCTTCAAATAATAAGGAGCTTCAAATAACTTCAGCTCCTGGTTTTTCGGCATTATGAGGTTAAAAGTTTGTTTGCAGAATAAGCAGCCTTTAATGTTACCTTGGGATGCTGGTTATTCGTCGTTTTAGTGGTTAGTATCAATTATATTACCTGTACTTAATATTTCGACCTGTTACTCGAATTGTACACTATTCTCTCCGGTCCTGTTCCGTTCTACTGATGGGTCAACAGGCATCTACTTCTCCACGCCAGCCACCTCTGTGTTCAATGTGCATTATTATGTGCGTCAATTTTGTGCTAACAGCAGTAAATGCCTGGGAGCACAGTTACAAAACTTTCCTAATTTATGCCTCTAGGCAGCACATTTCGTTAGCGCAAGCGTTTTTCTATCTATAGAAATAGATCTGCTTGCTCGTGTAGTTGTATGGCCTTGGTCCGTTTGTAAGCCGATTGCGGCCGAACTTTCCTCCTTCTGCGGCGCATGTCATGAGGCGCCGCGCCGGCAGTCGGCCGGGAGGACACCGAGTGAACGCGCAGTAGGGGGCTGGCGGCGGCGGAGACCAGCGGCTGAACACGACACTGCAGCAAGCTGCGGCTGTAGCAAGTACGGTGCTTCTTAACTGACATAGGACGTTCACATCAGGTGTGCATTATCTGCTTAAGATGCTAGCCTTAGTAGGCGATATCCCTGTAAACTATCCCTGTGTCTTGCATCAAAGACTGCGCGTAAGCTTCCATCATGCAATGCTGTCTCAGTTAGTGTTGTTTTTAACACCTACGCTGTCATCTTCGGATAATCATGTAGCTGTATGTGAATGTGTCTGGCTCACGCCCGGTGCTTGACTGGCATTCTGACTCGCCTCGATGGTGTGAGGCTAATGGGTCACATTCAACACAGTACTGTCACCGGGCGGCCGATGGCCCCAAGCGGCAATGTTTGCCATGTGCCGACCTTACTTGCCAGATAAAAGTCATGCCGATCGTGTTTGTCACACATAATCTGTACAAGCTGCACATAAACTACACGCTAAATATAAATGTTTAGATCACACATAGACAACGTTCTTTATTGAAAACCCCGTTATTTGAATGTGGACCATGTGTATTGCGTATAGACTGCACATCACATATGACCAGTATATGTCAGGCATAACCTGTGTACATCACATATAGACGGCGTATGTCACATGACCGTGTACGTCACATAAATAGGGCATGTTCACCGTCGTAGTGACGCTGTTGTTTGTGCTACAAATCAGCCGTTTGACGCCATTTGAAATACCATGAAGGCAACGCGAAGACCTCTTTAGTCGCGTGCGAAACGCAAGCGCCGCAGGACGGCAAAATAGCTGACAACGGTCATGCAGGCATTATGGCAACAGTTAAGATAAAAGATCATTGTGTATGTTAATTATGTATGTGTAGATCACTGATAAGCGGCGTTAGTCGCAGGGAGCTGTGGCAGCGGCGGATGGTCTACTGGTAGACAGCATAGCTCACACGGAGCTGCCGGACGATTCGCTGATAAACGGCGTTAGTCGCAGGGAGCTGTGGCAGCGGCGGACGATCAATGAAGACGATCCAGTTTTGGAGTAATGAAGTCTCAGGCTGACCGAGTTTGTCATATCAATCAACCGGAACTGGTATAGTTTCAGCGGTCCCGGTTGGCCCGGCCTGTGGCCGCACTGTGTTCACGTTTGTCGTGCTAGCCTACATTCCAGTAGTGCTGTTCCCGTCGCCGCGTAGGTTTCAGGACCGGATAGCAAACCTATTGAGGCAATCCTGCAGTAGATAAGACAGTAGTATTAGCTTTATTCCTCGGAAAAACCAGGACAATGGAGATATAGTCAGACTGATGTTTCGACAACATGCCTTTATCGAAACAATAGCAAAAGCGAATTCAAAATTGACGATAGATAGGCAATTCAAAATGCCGAAATTCAAAATAGTCAATTTTGAAGTCACTTCTGCTATTGTTTCGTTTAAAAGCACGTTGCCGAAATATGAACTCAACTATGTCTCCATATTCCCGGTTTTTCCGAGGAATAAGACTAATAATACGGTCTTATCTATGTGAATGATGCTCCTCGCTAATGCACTGAACAACTTACGTATTCCTGCAGTATCTTCAGGCCCTTAAATGGAAGCCCCTGATGAGGCTTCTGCGTAGATGCGCTATCACTACAATTTTGTCTGCTCATTTGGTTGAAAAAGAAAAAAAGTTAATGCGTAAAACGTTGAAAAGCTCGGGTTGAAAAACTGATTTAGGTCTCGAAGACCAGGCACGCCGGTGAACGTAGGGGAAAAAAATAATTCTGACGCCAAACAAAACGGATACTTTACTGCCGAAAGGTTGGTCGACATGTGCAGGCTGTGACGCGCTATTGTACGCAGACCGTGGACTTGTGCCTGCTTGGGCGTGCTGTTGTACGCAGACCGTGGACTTGTGCTGCTGGGGCGTGTGCTATTGTACGCAGACCGTGGACTTGTGCCTGCTGGGGCGTGCTGTTGTACGACAGGACCGTGGACTTGTGCCTGCTGGGGCGTGCTGTTTGTACGCAGACCGTGACTTGTGCCTGCTGGGGCGTGCTGTTGTACGCAGACCGTGGACTTGTGCCTGCTGGGGCGTGCTGTTGTACGCAGGCCGTGGATTTATGCAGGCTGTGTGGCGTGCTATTGTGCACAGAACGTGGGCTTGTACAGGCAGGTAGCGTGCTATTGTACGCGGACCGTGTACTTGTGCCGGCTGTGGCGTGCTATTGTACACAGAACGTGGGTTTGTGCAGGCTGTAGCGTGCTACTGTACGCAGCCCGTGGATTTGTGCAGGCTGTGGCGTGCTATCGTACGCAAAGCGTAGATTGCGTGACATTTGTTAAGGGCTGATGTCAAGAGCAGATGGAAGCCTGAAGGTGACGATTTGGTGTAAGAAATGCGCCGCCCACAAATCATTGCGCTATCACATCACTGCCTCACGCAGAAGGCAGTGGGCCGTTTATTTACGGGGTTGGCTAACGTCACTTTCTCCAAAACTGGTCTCAAATGCAACACACCGTGACCGAAACCGAAACAACACTGGGCAATGATAATGCAACGTGCATATCCCAGCTTACTGTGACCAGCAATCACCAAAAAATATTTGCGTTTTGTTTCCGATCGGTCACCGACAGTCGTCGAATACCTTTACTATCGACCAAATAAAAACATATTTTCGATTACAACTGACTGGCGTTGCCATGCAGCCGATGCCGCGGCAGCCGATGCCGCGGCAATCCAATTTGTAGATCTGTTCCCAAACGCTTAACACGCGCTCGGGTGCGGAAGTCAGTATGACCGGCTAGAAGACTTTCCGGAATGGTTTCCTTTCTAGGGGAAGCGCTCAATCTGATGCAACAACGGGGCGTTAGAGGACGCCATACATCTCTAGATGCTTTCTCAGGCAACACAACAATTGAATGCACAGGGCCAGGTATGAAGGTCAGACGCAGATCAAAACCAACGCCCTTATCACTCTAAGGCTTGCTGTATGGGGTAGATTTTGGTGCTCAGTTCAAATTTACTAATGGAAGGGTCAGAACAGGACACTGACCTAAAATGACCCAGGGTCAACACTTTTTTTTTAGTAAGATACTGCCTAGCATTATCTTTATTGCTTATTCAAATGCAAAACCCAAAGCACTCTTATATAATTTGGTCACCATGACCTTCGAAAGGTCAGACAAGGTAACTGAGCTCAAGTGAGCATGTGACCTTTTGCTTAGAACAGGTATCTAGGTTCTGAGGGGTACTTAGCTTTACCTGGAGTTTAACTAGTTTTAACTTTACTAGAGTTAACTTTACTAGCTTAACCTAGGAGTTTTACCATGTTGACATTTGCCCCGGAGGTTATGGCCTATGGATCTCAAGCTTTAACCCAAGTTAGTTCACGTGCTGGCAACACACCCTGTGTAATGTAGTGTCTCTACTCGGTTAGTTCCTGAGATCTTAGCGAGGTCAAATTGGCCCCCACCCGAGCGAAGGGCACCCAACCGGCCACCCGGTCGCGTGTTAGGGTTCGATGCACCTGTGTCGAATAAATTCATGCGCTGATATGCACCGTATGTATTGGCTTCCGAAGAAAATGGTTCCATTCAGTATAATGTAATAGTGCATCATATAGTATAGACCATATCATGTTGTATCATAACTAGTATGGTCATGTACATGCTTGTTGCGATCACCTCTGCGTCACCCTGCTCGCTGCACGTCTCCAAGCTCAACAGGCGTCCTCCACGTCCAGTTAATAATGCCTTAAGCTGCAACGTAATTTATAATTTTGTCGGTAACGAGCTTCAAGCATCAAGTGAACTTCGGGTGAAAACCACCATGGACTTTACGTGGCCATGTTTGTGATATAGAATTCAAGTCGATGCAATCTTAAAAAACTGTGATGGTAGCGTAGGTCTGCGCATAACATTCATAGCCCAAGCTGCAGCATGTCCTTCTTTTTAGATTGAAGTACACTCCCATCGACAACTGAAGAATGAGGATCACCAGCATAACCAGGATTATCTGTCTTACTCTGGTACGTACACGATTGGTCATCTGGTGCAGATTCGCCTCAACTCTAAATGGCGAGCTTTGTGCTAAGCATTGTACTAACGGCATGAAGCATGTTTTCAACCACTCTTGTGTAAGACAGGAGCGCAGGAGGTTCCAATAAGTGGAAAGGTCATTTGCTGTGCCGGCCATCTCCTGTGCCGGCCGTTTCCTGTGCCAGCCGATCGCAGGACGAGAGCGTGCATGCAAACAAATTTCTTGCATCTGCCACAGGTGATCCTGGAGTTGACCGCGTCGTCACCTCTCCCCCAGAGTGAGTCGCCGCTGTTTCCACATGGCCTAAACAGAAAGCCATGTCGATCATTGCGGGCAATAAAAGGCCTTAACGAGGTGCAATAATGCCTTGACACAATCGGCGCAGCTTAAGTCAGTGTGGATCAGCATGCCTGCTTTTTTCAAAACGAGTTATGTGCAGTATGTCCCAACTGATAATTATCAACGTGACTGCAGTGATGCACGATTATGCGCGAGGTTGACATTGTTTCCTGATGCCGGCCGTCCGCGGGCTGAGCTTTGTGTTCTCCCGTCCACAGGCGGGGTAAGCGCGGGCCTCCGGCTCCGGCCCCCACCAAACCAGTTCTGGGTCTCACTCTGGAAATCCCAACGCCTCAGCCTTGGCCGCCGCAGAAACAGGGACGTCCAAAAAGTGCCGATTCCCCAGTCGGCAATCCCGTCGCTAAACATTTCGGCAACAGGACTGAACGCCGCCAGTGCCCTCAGGTTTCCTGATTAGAGTAACAACGCTCTGTGCTTTTTAGCCGTTTTCAGTTCATCCATAGCATTTTAACCTGGTCTTCACTAGTTTGGCAGATGTGTTTTTGATGACTACGTAACCAGTATGACAGGGAACTTAAACTCGGCTGCCGTGGTATGAAACACGCACCCACGGCAGTGGTAGATTCAAACCCCCAGCAGTCACGCCTATGTTGTGTCAGTCAGTCACAGCCAGCCGGACTGTAAGCCAACGCCAAACTGGCGAGGCCTGGACGCCGAACACCGGCTGGTTAGCACGGCTTGCCACCGGACGGTGAGTATAGAAAACAGCCGGGAACCGGCTCAACGCTGGACTGGCTGAACAAATCTGCATATGCGAATCCTCTCCACGCATTTAATATTCCGACATGCTCGCTGCATTGCCCCTCCGACCCACACATTTTATGTCACTTGTACAATGTGCCAGTGACCTGGACCTTCCCAGTACGTGAATTATGTCCTAAAAAGACGCTTACCTGTGACGTATGTCCACAGGGCTTAAAGACACCAAATGACCTGCTGACCTGGAATAATCGGCCCAACCTGGCTACGCTGACTCTGGGGAACTTGGCCGTCCAGCAATTAGGCCTAATGCAGAACAACCCGTCGAGATTCTCGGGCTTACAGGCGAGATTCTCGCAGAGCTCAGACACGAACTCATCGCAGAGCAACTCGCCAAACAACCGACCAAGGTCCCAGGAGATCACCCGGCCGAGCTCCCAGCAGAGTTTCCAGCCGAGCTCCCAGCAGAGTTTGTACAACTCTGCACGGAGCCAGCCGTTCCCCCGCCGGCCGTTCTCCGGATACACTCTGCGTTGGTTCGGCTAGTCCTCCAGGACTGCTACCGAACTGTGGACAGAGTCGCCGATCCAAACACTGCGCAGCCAGACGGACCGGCCGGGACAACTTACAAAAGGCGTGCAACTGCAGGTACGCGCAAATGCAGCTGTGGTTACGAGAGGAACTACAGTGGGAGAAAGCCGAGTCAAAATACGAGCCAGGTACTCGTGCATGCAGCAGATGCACTAGCAGAACTGGATGTTGAAAGCATATGCGAAACAAATAAATCCTGCTTGCGATGCGAATAAACAAAGGCTGCTTAGCTTTGTATTCTGCTTCCAACGTGCATGTGGACAGATAGAGAAGTACGACACTTACGATAGATCAAATTTACTCCGACAAGTCAGGGTTCGGCGCCAAGTTAGAACTGACGGAAGCGGAATGTGCGTTCCTTTTTTCTTCAGGATGAATGGAGCTAGTGAAAATGCGCTGTAAGCTTTATAGCCATCGGCATTCTGAATATTTCCAAATGCCATCTTGGGGATAAAGTGAATTTGATATCAATTCTATCACGCATTTTTTGTTTGCACCTTATTTGTTTTAACAAATTTTATTCTGAATTATTTGCAAGGGTGGCTTCTGGTTGGGGAGACTTCCTGAAGCTTGTAGCGTTCAGACCGGCCACCGCTTGGGCTGTGCCATTTCAGTTCATCAGGGCATTTATCATCATCATTATTTCATTACATCCTTTTTTACATCATTGCATTACATTACATTACATCATTCATTACATTCATAACATCAACATCATTGGGCGCTGCATGACCTTTAGCAGTCGATGCGCCCTAAATCCCCAAATCATCATCATCAACATCAACATCATCATATCATGTCATTATCATTAGGACATCAGATCATCAGGGAACAGGACAGGACATCAGATTAGATCATCATCATCAGTAGGCTGTGACCTTATGGCCAAACAGGTCCGCGAAGCACTATGCACGCCGCACAGTGCTGTGGAGCGGTCGCTCCCAGCCAAAGGGACGCTGGCCAGTTACCAGCTGACTTTTCCCAGTCATTTCGGGCTACCAGTACACTCACTCTGGGGACTATTCCGACCGCCTCGGGGTTGACACACGCCCGAGGACAGATGAGGAAAGGCGAGGATAGATCAGATAGATCTATAGATCAGATAGATCAGATAGATCAGATAGGACAGATGAGGGAAAATCAACTTCGCCATCTTCTTGCATCACATTTAAGCGGTAAGTTGCCAAAGGACCAGTTTTGGTACGGCTATCACCAAGAAAACGAGACAAATAAACCAAAAGACACCGAACGAACCGGTAACCTTCTTAGTTGCACTCGTGCACGATGGGAATACCCCTCACCACAGCCACGGACCTGGGAACGCCGACCGAGGCGCGGCCCGAACTGCCGTCCGATGGAGGAACACGCTCATAAAACGATGCCAACATACGATTATGACATTAAGAATGGGTTCTTCATCTAACAGAGCCGTCGTTCATTTGGACCGTGGGCCCCATCGCGCGAGATTATTACCCACCCGTCGGACGCCGGCGCGCCTCTCGCAGGACACACGTGGACGAACCACGGAAGACCAGCTAAGGAACATTCGTACGCCTGTGACTGACATTCGTGCAAGGACTTGGAAAAACCCCGCGTATCAGAATGGGCTTTGTTAAAATCTACGTCATCATTTCAGCCAGGTTGCGTAACATGTAATTGGTCATCGAACGTGGCTCATTTTGAACTCATTTGGCCCCATGGGCGTAGGAACAGGGAGGGGGGGGGGGGCAGGGGGCCATCGCCCCCGCCCACTTTTCAGTGTGGGGGTTAGCAATGTTAATTGCCCCCACCCCCAGTTTTCAGATTAAGGTTGCATTTGGCTTACTTTTGCACTACATTAAACATGCATGCCGATTTACCTAGTTCACCAGCCATCTCCCTTAAGTTGCGTTATCTTTTTCACTTGCTCATTGGCCATCACTCAGTGTTACAGCCACAAGGCGACGCCTCACGGCCTGGAGGCTGTAACGCCGGGCGCCGAGGCTGTTGCAGCTACAAATTGCGAGCGCGCATGTTCAAGACCATATTACATAGGTTTCTCGTCGGTAATCAGTTCTGATAGGATCCTAAGCATTTTAAGACGAACATGGGTTGCCCACGTCGACAAAAATCAGGAACCCCATTTCATTTACAATCTACGGTCAGGGAGAACCCAATATCTCTGAAGGACACAGAAAAAACACGGAACTGGAGTGTACGTGACAATTATTGGACTACCTGCATTGATCAGGGATGCTGTCGCATCAGTTGTTTCTGTGCTGATCCGGGGCCAACTGTGCAGGTCAGAAGGCCTCCCGTTGTCAGGAATGGGAACAAGGTGATATGATGCATCCTTCTAATGGCTCCCGGATTGGCCAGGAGATCCCGCCCCGTGTCACCAGAATGATAGCCAGAAGACACCCGCGATGGGACGGAATGGCCCTTCCTTATGCTGTGTTCTTGACCGGAAACGATAATGTACCCATGGTGTCCTACTCAAGAGGCCCCGTGCCTGGAAGGAAATAAGGGGTTTCATTATTGTTGAACAGAGTGGGGGTCTCATTACTGTTGAATAGGGTGGGTCGAAATGAGCTTAAAGAAAACAAGCAGGGTCATGCCATGTTTGCCTGAGGACGTTCATTTCTTCAGAATGCATTATTGAAACAAATTACATCAAAAGGCTTGAACATGCCCGCCCGCAACCACGAGAGCAAGGACAAGGATGGTCTGGGCTGCAACTACCGTAAAACCGAAAGGTTACGGCCACTGTAAGTGCCACCAGACGGTGGGCGCCGTGTTAATGTCTTCTGGATAAATGAATAGCTGCAAAAACACGAAAAACAGACATTCTACCTTCACTCTTCCAGTTCAACCGCTAGATTCCAGCCCCACCTCGCGACGCTTCAAGTGCAAGTTCTTTCTTTTCATTAGCGTAAAAATTGCACACGTGAAATATGCGCTCAGACTGCCCTCTAAATGTAAGATCTGATGTCCTGAAGCGTTCCAGGATCCTTTTTTCACAAGCGTCGTCATTTTCGTCCACCCGTTGGCCATAACCGCCTGGTGTCGGGTTTTTGTTGCTAAGATTTGCGGGCGCGCATGTTAAAAAAACACGTTACATGAATTGTATCACGAATCGATTCTGACTGAATGGTGAACATTTTCGAACAAACATGGCTTAGCCACGTTAATACACATTGTTGACTACTGGACCTGCAATCAAATTTTCATCTTCAAATTTGGATCAAACATATTGATTTACAATCTACCTGCGCGACATCCTCAATTTCTGTATAACCCAGATAGAAAATTACAAAGGTTCTGAATTCTATCGATTAGAGTCAACTAACCATTGTAAATTAAGAGCGGTGGTGATTTATTCTATGCAGTCGTTCAACGCCTGATTTCTGCAGCTTATTGACCTCCAAATACGAACAGATTTGAGCTCACGGTAGCTCCTGGTTTCTGTTCTGCTTACGAGGTAAAGACAGCAATGAAACGTAGAAAACCGTGTCACTTGTTAACAAGTAAGCTATATCCGGGGATATTTGGGAGGATCACCATAAGATCGGCTTTTGTCAACCTTGTGTTCTCCCTTGGTAAGGCCCTGGCTACGCCCCTGCCTTCCATATATAACGACAGTCAATTGGCTCTTAATCAATGTTGTGCAAGGTACGATAGCGAAATCAATGACGCGCTGAGGAGCATATTTACTGAGCAGGGAAGTTGCGTTGTCTAATGCAGTCTTCTCTACTTAGAAAACATACAAATGGCTACGAGTCAGCTTGTTTTATCTCATGCTTACTTTAGCATCTAAAAGTATCGAACATTCCTTTTTTATTTTTTTCAGTACTTCAGCAAAATAGCACGAGTCCTCAGCAATACTCCGCCGCCACTGGCCGACTACACGTCCTCAATAATGCTCAGCCGCCTCCTGCCGCTCCAATTTCCTCAACACTACTCGCCACCACTGGCCGACCAGATTTCTTCGGCAATACTCAGTCACCACTGACCGACCGGATGCCAATACACTCCGACCGGGCATCCGGTCTGACACTGGGGTCGTAAGCATCGTATCGCGCGGAGCCTGTTGCTCTGAACACGGCATCTACGCCTGTGCTTTTATTCCGCGCATGGAACATCAGCGACCAATTCATCTAGCTGCCTTGGACATCCAGCCAGTTAAAACGCAAGTCATGTCAATTTGAGTCCAGGCATACCAACGAGCGGATGCAATGCGACCATGGTCTAGTGCCTGAACGTGTTGACTTTATGGGACTGTTATTTGGCGGTCAGGAAGGGATATGAAGACTTTCTAACGAGAATGCAAGAACCGGGGGTGGGGGGTGGGGGTGGGGGGTGGGGGTGGGAAGGGGAGCACTGAATGCCAAGCCAATCGCCCCTAACTTGGAAGAAGTTCTGTTGAGGGCCCGTTCTAGTATGTTAACGGCCACTTCTCAACTAAAAATGGATGGTGTAGGCCTGTAAAAGTTCATTCTGATCTGTCGAGCGCGCATTCTGGTCCATTTAAAATATGTTCTGAACAAAATAGGACATTTTGTGTCTGTAGACAGCCCATTGTGACCTGTGAAGACCCGTGATTAACACGCGCCCGGTTGGCCGGCCGGATACCCTTCGCTCGAGTGGGGGTCAATTTGACCCCGCTGAGATCGCAGAAAAGAAGAGAGCTAGAGACATCA